TGCAGACTACAGCAACTGGCCGGACATCACTTCTGGATCAGAGTTAACACGATCATCCTCTTGCCTTTGCACTTGCGGCCCGAGGCCTCACCGTTGCCAATTCGAGTTCACAAAGCAGTCAGATAAGCAGCCTTCAGCATTTGGTGCAGTAGTAGAGCAAAGCCATCAAAACACAGACAGTTACATAAGCAGAGCTAAATCTAGAGGTCTTCCACTGCAGGATGCTCTGCCTCCTCCGGTCTGCAGCATCACTATCACAGAGGGGCAGGACACGGTGCTGCTCTTTCATACCTCCTGGTCACAAACTGTTGAGTTTGCATTCAACTGTGAAATCAAGTGGAAATTGCTGAACGGCGAGAACATGTCTGTCCGCATCAAACGTCGCCTCTGACATCGCGTCATCTTTTCTCCCCATCAGAGGAATCCTGGCATAAAAGCCCAGACTGCAGGTAAAAGGAATCTTTAAAAAGGAAAAAAACTGAGAACACGTGATATGAAGACTCAGTTTTTCAAGGTTAAAAAGCCTTGTAACCCGAGCCGTTATCTAAAAACACCCTCCCTAAAGGACAAACTTGCAGAATCTAGTTCATTTCATTACAGCCATAGGCAGTTCTTTCAACTGAGTTTGACCTAAATGTTGGCAGATCCTTAAAGTGTCTCCAAACACGAATCAGGGAAGCAAAAATTGGCTCTACACACGAACCGATTTGTCTTATTTCAAAGGCCACACAGGACTTTCTAGCTGCAAAACATCTGTGGCAGAACATTTGATAACTTCATCGACTTGACAGACCGAGGAGGAAACTCGATTCATCACTCGGGCCTGCGTGGATGGGAAAAAAGTAGGATCAGATGTCTTCACAGATATAAATAGAACATCCTGTCTTAAATAGGCTCAACTGTTCAATAAATTGCATTCCTGTGGCTTTTGTTGCGAATCTCCCTGTACAGGCAGAAATACAACCTTGGGGACTGTAATATGAGCGTGTGCTTTTAGGTGAAGCTGTCAGACTCACAAAAAAAAAATCAATTGATCAATCTGGATAAAAGCAGGATGTAAAATAACGAGGTCACTGGTGCATGTCAGGCATACAGGGATCAAACTGACTGTCAATCAGTCACTCCAGGGGAGTATAAACAAGCACGCAGCCAACTGACCCAAAAACCATAAAAAACATGAAAATTCCATGTTTCTCCTTCTTAAAATGTGCAGTCTGACGTCAGAGCTGACAGACAGGCTTTGTAGAGACGGAGCTCATAGCCTCTGGTGGCTGGTGGGAGGCTGAAGGGAGAGACATCCAGCCCCCTGCACACACACTCTAAACACAGAGGCCTGATTAGCAGACACATGACGGCCCTGTTCCACCAGCTGCAGGGTGGACGCCACTACTGTACACTGTTAACATGCAAAGATATGCAATCCCTCCCCAGTATAGGCTGAACCGATATAACACAGGTTGTGAATAAGGTCCTATTTGAATCTGTAATTTGTCTTTAAACAAGACAAACAGGTCTTTGAGTGAACAAAGCTTCAAGCAAGTCGCACAGAAATTCTGTCTATTAGGATCTATTTACAAATCCGAGGCTTAACTTCAAGTATGATGCTGGAAAACTAATTGTCTTGGCGCCGATCTGAATTGAGCAGATCTGGCAAACTGGAGAATCTATAATGGGATACTATAACTAATCTCACCTTAATCTTCAGCTGAGGACAAACTAGGTTAAGCTTCTTCTGTAGGCTACAACAGAAGGTGCACACTTTACATGTCACACAGTTTTACCCCGTTAGAAATGTTTACTACTAACGAAGACGACAACAGGGCGACGCACGCAAAACAAAGCCTAACTCGCTACTAGCGTTGACGTCAGTAAAAGCAAGTGTGTTGTTCGACATTACCGATGATTGCTGTCACAAGTTCTCGAGTGTACATGAGGGAGAGTGGGTCAAGTCCACGAAAGCCGACGATTAGCTCTGAAGACTAGAACCGGCGGTATGAGATAGTGGTAGAGGCTGACTGGCTGGCGAGATGGCTGACTCACTTTCACAAGAGACTGAGACAAACACACAAGGTCAAACATAAGGGACTATGGCCAAGAGCATCACTGTGCATGACCAATTAAATGGGTATGTGGGGTTGTGTGCTCTAAATAAATGTTCCCAAAGCATCTGAATGCACTTGGATGAAGGTAAAGCACCAGAGTGTATTTAAAGTCCCACTTAACATGAAAAGCCTTTTAGAACATCGAATTACATGAACCACAAAAACACAAATCAAACAAGGCAGCTTTGAACAAGACTCACAGTCTGCAGCTATGCTAAGCATCTCTGTGAGGCTGTACCTTAGTGATTTGACCTAAATACTAATTTGAGCATGCCGACTTGGTCGTAATGACAATGCAAACATGCTGACGTTTAGAGAGTATAATGGTAAACGGTTTAGTTCTGTGGCTTTGCACGGTGACACTCGCCAAACACCAAAGAATGTTCACCTGAGACTCATAAAAAGAAATTGATATTTGGTCACGAGTTACTAATAAAAATCAGTGGATCCTAATAATTATTTGAGAAAAAAAATACAGAAAAATATGTAAACATGCCTGCATAATATGGCATCTATTTACTGATTGCATGAAGAACATTAATTTACATGTGGCGGTGCCCTTTTGTAAATTAAAAGTCCTCATCATGCTTTATCATGATATAATATAATGTGAGCCTGACTGATACTGGGGCTGATTCTGATTTCAAAGCAGGGCAAACGATGGGGTTATTATTATTACGTTTACAGCAATGTATTTCACAAACTTTGCAAGTTACTGTGAAGACACTGCTTGACTCCATACCATTGTATCCTCAGCTGTGATGTATACTCTGCTACATGTGCTGCAGACAGCGCTAAGAGTTTTTTTAAAGAATGGAATTGGAGCTGCCCCACTGGTTAAACCAAGTTATGACACCATGTCTAAAATACATCAAGCACATACACACACACAAAAAGAAGTTTTCATATCAATACATACTGGATAACATATATGCCAATACCAACACATCTGTGACGCAAAAATCAGATGATAATACTGACCAACTGATATATTGGTTGGGACAATTTTTTTTTAGCCTTTTTGCTTTTATTAGATAGGACAGTCGAGAAAGAGACAGGAGCCCTAGCGGCGGCCCTGGTTGGGACAATATTAATAATAATACTTACTAATGCGTTGATATCTCACATTCCTACCAGTAACTCTCAATTTCATTTTAATGTTAGCCTTGTGTTTTGCCATTCCTTTAGTTACAAAAAATATTTTAAAAACATTGTTCGACTTCATTGTGGCGCTAATAAAACGCCAGAGGATCATCAAAATCCATCCAGTAATTGTTCAGATATTTCAGTTCAGACCAACTTACAGCCAGGTTCACCACAGTTGCCATTGTTTTTCAAGCACGCATGGCAAAACAGATTTGGAACAACAACTACCAGGCTGTAACAGAGCCCAAATAGTCAACAGGTAATCACAACTGATTAGGCCATCATCACTCACCAACACTAAAAAAATAGGCAAGCACATATTTTAAAACATCGCGTGTACCCAGGTTCTAACCACAAGGTTGACTTGGTGGTATTGTAATGCTATCTGATGCACTCATTTCACCATTGTGCAAGATGCTAGTTCCAAAAAACAACCAAGAATGCGAACACACCCTGTTCACAGCTTATTTGTACAAACAGCATAAGCAAGGCTAGCAATCCAGGATCAACTCGCAAAGATCATGTTACATAGTTGAAACCAAATCAAGTAAAATAATGGTTAAGTTACTCCATGAGGACAACAGATATATATGCTTAGCAGTTTCTTTTCAGTGATTCAGTCAGGAGCCACAGTTCAGCCATGAGATTTCATCCACGTTCACTGCCCAGCTGAAGGAAAGGAATTCTGTCTTCAGCTTAGCCGTGCAAAAACACAAACATACTGTGCATGCCTAGGATCACATGAACTACAAGACAAACTCGAAGGACATGAAGGACAATCTTAGACTCGCTAAGACGCCTCTGTGTGTGATTACTTTATGTACACAGACTTCTCCTCCCAACATTATACGGCGTACCTTGCTTGACCAAACAGCTACTGGCCACATGTTCTTACCACGTGACTTTGGTGATGATTACTGAGGGCATAATAGTTAAAAATAAAAGTAATGCATGCATGAACAAAGCGAAAAGAAGAACAAAGACGCTCTCTTTTAAGTGCTCCTCTGCATTAGAGGGCAGCACACACAGCAGCTCCATAACAAAGTAAAGAGTGCTATTTGTACTGGCTCACTCCCACTCCCCCTGTCAATCTCTGGCATACTTGAAACAATGTCATGTGCTTTGTTCTGCCTGTGTGAGCAAAAATCATTTTTATGGATACATCTTTTTTTGAAGTTGTTGTGATCATGTATGGTTTGTACATTTATTTTATGTGTGCAAGTCGTACGCACAGGGAAGGAAAACTCCCAGAAAGCAGATGCCATCTGTGCCTGCTGAGCGGTGCCATATTTACATGTTGGCGGCGCAGATGTGACAGACCAAACAGATTTCTACCAGTTCTTGAAGACAGCACGGGTACTACAGACTAGAAAACACCACTCCTCATCAACACTGATCATCAGTTAGTGTTAAATATCTTTCCAAAAATGTTCTTCTCAGTATTAAAGATTGGCCACGCCTGCATATTTGAGGTGTAGATGCTCACACAGCTCACAGCATCAGCAATGGGCAAGCTATGAAAACAGGTTCTGAAATAGCTCTGTCTATGTTAACATGATGATAGGGGAAACAAATTAACAGCTACAAAGTGAAAGGACACATTGAAAGTAAAACTCTTATATTCTATCTGCAGGGTAATAAAGCTGCTGAAGCGTGGCTAATAGAAAACCCACCAACTGCTTCAGCAGCGCTCTGAAAAGGAAAACTCATCTGACAAGTGAACTTGGAGTGACTAAGGAGATCTGAACTCACCTCTAATGACGTAGGGGCCGACCGGTATTTATCTGTAATGACAGAATAGAGAGAAGTGTTATTCACGCTCAAAGACAATGAAGATTTATTGTGCAACAAGTTGCTTGTAACAATCAGCGAGACAACACACCCTCTGAATTATATATGTGAATGTACTGTGCAGCTATGTAAGACATTTTAAAAAGAGAACAGAGAAACCTCACACTTAAGACGGTGTTACAGAGCATAAATTATTAAAATTAACGTGCTAGGAGAGAGAATGGAGATGAAATGTGGCCGCACAGGAGCAGCTGAAACACACCAGCACTTAACAGACGGCTGGAGAACCGGCAAGTTAATAAATTATTGTGTTTTCTCTGCAGTCACTGCACATTGCTTGCACGCTGCCTGAGGCAAATTGAGGTGTCAAAACATACCACTGGGGGTTGCTTATAGTAATATGATTGTTCATTCACACTCCGAGGGAAGGCATCTAACCAGTGCCCTCTTGTTTCCATGGAAACCGCTCTCCAAATGGAAAGTCGGAATAAAAGAAAGCAATACTTCACCCTTGACTGAGACCTTTCCCTAAAACATTACATCTGAGGTTGAACATTAATCTCTACGGTAATCTTTTCTAAAGAATACTCTAAAATCAAAGCACCTGATTAGATGAAAAAAAAAAACTATACTTTCTCTTTCGCTTAATGGACAAAAGATTAAAGTAATCTGACAACCTTATCTCTTCCGGTAATGACTTTCCTGGTGTAGCTGTACCTCAAGATTTTCCACGAACAAGCTCAAAAGTACACAGAAGTAATCTCTTTCCTGTATTGATCAACCAAATATGGCTTGATTCATAGTGAGCTGCAGCTAACAGTTACTTTCATTAGTGTTCAGTTTAATGATTATCTTTGACTAATCATTGGGGTGTAGTATGGCCCCACCTGACAACTTCAATTGTTTTGTTTTGCTCACTAACTGCAAAAAAAAAAAAAGAAAGAAACTCACATATTCTGCATTTATTATAATACAAGACGAGGAAAATAACTAAATCCTCAGCTGGTACCATTCAGTGTTTGGATCATTTTGCATAACAGGTTGAAAATTTTACAATAATCTGATAATTAAAATCAATCAACCTGGCTGATTAACTGGTGGAGCATTGCAACTCCAATAACAACAGTTACTGGACACAGTGATTTGAAACAAAGGGAAAAATGCTGGTAAGAGCGAGGTCAAAGCTTAAAGTACATATAGAGCGATATAGCAGCGGACTTTAACACCAGTCCGGAAAGTAAAATTAGGTAACTGCACACAAATGAGACATTTTGGTCAAACTAATACGGGAAATATCTGCAATCAAAGTTCATCAACAGATCATTATGTCATTTAGTAATAAAAATACACAACTAAAGGAACACATTGGTGGAAAATACTTGTTTCACAGCATAGTACAATTCACGTCACTCTGCAGAAAGTTACAGCGAACAGATGGGAGAAAAAAAACATTCATCCGCAAACACTCATCTGGGAAACACTGGCTCCTCTGTTTTACCCAGGCAAGGAGAGGTGGCTTGGCAAGGCCTCCTCGACTCTCCTAGGGCAAGTAAAGCTCAGTGGACATATTTGGAGCGGCGTTAAGTGTCACCCTGACTATCCTATTCAAAGAAATATCAACCGCTGTGCTGCTGAAAGGGTTTCACAGAAAGAGGGAGGACTGCAAGATATCTCCTCTGCTTGATGATGCAAAGTTTTATCTTTCAATCTAATCAATAAATATAGAAAAAGATCCTTAAAAACTTCTGTACTGTATGTATGAAACACTAAAAATAAGAGTAAACAACTCCAAACCCTGATGCAGTGCAGCAACAGTGAATATATTCTCCCCCCGGCTCTACATCTAAATTGATTTGACTGCAGCACGAGTCGTGTGCATCTCGCTTCAATTTGCCCAAAAATAAGATTTGACTCAGGCTTTGTGCTGCTTATTAGTGTGATTGTGTTTGCCATGCGTCACTTCCTTGTTTACTGCGTGATAGTTGACCGCAGCAGCAGTCACACATCTTTATTCAAGGTGGGTTCGCCAGAGGAGGCTGCAAAGCTCAGCGTCGGTGGTCTGGTAACCGGCCAATTGATGCCACCTTGTCCCTGACTCATGAGTGGGCCATATGCAAGTTGCATAAGCATTGATTTTCTGCTGGGTTGCAACCCCATACGCCGGCCGCCGAGCTACTGGAAGCTTAATAGGCCTCACGTCTCTCTCATCACCAGGCCTAATAAGAATCAGGACAGGGCCAAGCTGTCCCAAAATACCTCAGCTACTCGCCAGAGGAGCAGCAAAAGGAAATTCCTCATAATCTCCAAACTCATCTGCGCTCAGACTTCTAAAGTCTGTGCATCTAATCATCACATTTGGTTCTATTTTTGGTAGCGCAAAGATGCTCTGACTGAATCTGTTTACTGTGCGAGTGTCAGCTTCACACACAGGCAACATCACCGATCAGACAAAGAAACTGAAGCAGAGCTGGACTGAGGGGTTAACATGAGAATGCTAAAAGGAAAGAAAAGAAACAGTGGAGGGGAAAACATGAAGAAAGGTGGCTAATAGGTTCCCAAGAGAGGTAGGACATAACGTAAGCGCCTGAGGTTGTGTTGACAGACACACCTCCTCCTCCAACACCCAACTTTATCTCTCACGTATTAATGGAATGCAGTTAAAAGGCCACGAGGCTTTGAGACATTACGTACGACACATCTGTCTGCATACGAGCTGCTGTACCGGAATGAGCCTTTAAACACAGAATGTGCTTTAAAATATGCAACATGGGCTCAATTGTAGTGCTCAGTACCCAGAGCCCTGTTGGTTTTCAGATGCCTGATCTGTTTTTTTTAACACCCAGGTGGCCTACAAGACACAGAATAATAATGGGTTTTTCCAGTAGCTGACTGTTTTCAGCTTCCATGCCAAGTGTAAATTGAATTCTAGCTGTATTAAAAGGCAGCATGATCCAGCTCATTAAGACTGGAACTGATAGAGATACAGTCCGTTAACTGCCTGTTCCAGTCCATGTGGCAAGACAGATTAAACTGTAAGATAAATTAGGGCTGCAAATGAATATTATTTTCATTAACAATTCACAGTTTACTCCATAAGGTGTCAAACAGTTAAATAAAAACACAGTGGCATCTTTGCAATGTTTTATAATACAGTCCAAAACAAAAGGATTTCAACCTACTGCAGCAGATGATTAAGAAAATATTCACAATTTTAAAATGTGGGCATTTTTGCTTGATAGGATTTTTTACAAAATGTCTAAATTGTTGTCAAGTACTTCTCTGTCAATAGTCAAGGCTGGTGGTGTAATATAGTCTACACATATTGGATGTGTTAGTTATAAAACGACGTTCTCCAGATGGTGTTAGGGAGGGAAGCACTTTTGTTGTGTAACTTATATGACCTCTGAGGACTCTTAACCAGAGTAGCTGTGATTTTTTATTCTATATTTTTTGCTGTATAACACAACTGAACTGCTATTTTTCTGCTTAATACAACCTCTGATGTACCATCTGCTATTAATCATCAGTATCATGACGCCTGAGAGTACCCCTAAAGGTATCATTAAAGTAGAAAACTGGCTTCTTCTTTGATAGTATGCACGCTTGGGTTGTAGATTTCACAGAACAGCTCTTAACATGCCGGGAATCAAACAGATCTAGTGTCTGGAGCAGCCAATGTGTGCAAACTTGATTATGTTTATCCCACTACTACATTTCCACTGTGTTCTCCCCTCAGGTGAATGCAGCACACAGCAAACACCTGCTCTGGACTAGACTCCAAATCCCCTCCAATCTGTGCTTTTAGCAGAATGTCACAACACTGATAATGGGGGCTGTTTGCAGCTATGAGTCATCTAACTTTTTCTTTTTTTTTTTTATTGCAGGATTTATGCTGTAGTCTCGATGCTGGCTTACATTGCTTTGATCTGGACTTGAAGGTGATGTGCAGTTTAAATGCAATCACATGGTTCATTGTTTACTGAAGCTAACTGACCGCTGCAGGGACACAATTTCCAAGCACGAACAACAGCAGCCATTCTTGAAGCTAACAAACACAGCCGTCTGAATTCAGCAATTATACGAGCCGCGTCTTTTTTTTGTTTTTGTTTTTTTTTAAATATAAAATTAGGATTCTGCAGTGACAGCGCAAACCCTGACTGTGTGAATAATTGATTTTAAAAACAGCTTTCTTGGTCTTTGTGATCCCCAGCAGCTATGCGGTGATCTATGATGTATTATTAATAACCGCATCGGGCGCCTGTAAACAAATTCGCCACATGGCTGGAAGCAGGCAGCCACAACAATATGGCCTCTTTGTAGGGATGCTACGTTCGTTTGGCCTGTGAGTGATGTGAAGGGAAGAATTTTTTTTTTTTTTAAAGCTTCATTGTGTGCTGTCTTTGTGGTTTAGCTGTTTTCTTTTCACACGAGACGACCAATTACCAGTACACCTGTCTTGCTCCGTGGTTACCTGTGCTGTCTTCAAAGTGCAGTTTGACGGTGCCGTCTCTCCCGATCCTCACGTCCCCGGGTCCCTCGATTCTCTTCGGGTAGCCGGCCGCGGGGGCACCGGCGCTCCTGGAGCTTTTCCTCCTGTGTTTCTGCGCTAAAGTCCGACAGCACTGATAACACACAGCCCAGGCCTGCTCCTCGTTTATCGGCTGGCTGTACAGAGTCAGGATCTCCTCCAGGGAGACCTCCTCGGCTCCGTCGCCGCAGTCCATGCTCACGTCTCCGGCGTTCAGTTCGGCGGCGAAGTCCCGGAGAATGGTGGGCGAAGTCAACATGCCGTCGTCGGTCCCCGGTCGTTTAGCCATCCTCACATCATTGTAACCGCATAACATTGAGAGGGGGGAAAAAAAAGAAGAAGAAGCGAAACTGGCTGGTCGGTGTGTGTCTGTGGAGGCTGAGTCGTCTGCTGTCGGTCACTGGAGCTGCTGTTCGCTCCGAGCGGCTCCAACGGCTCAGCGGCGGCTCTGACAGCTCGGGCCGCGTGGTCCCTCCGCCCGCCGGGTTAAAGTCCAGCAACCGCAGCTGCAGGAGGCGGAGACTTTAAATGAGTGTGTAGGCTGTAGGCGAAATCCACAGGCCGTGGTAGTGTTTTCAAAAATTTAAAAAAAAAATATGTATATATATTATTGCCAGTGGCGTTGTAGGGATATTGACCCCAATGCAGCCCAGCAGTCTATAGGGCAAGGAAGTTTTATTTTGAAATGTTATACACTGGACAGAGTGTTTCAAAACACAATAAAAACATAGTAAAGGTCACATGTTAATATCCTAATAAATAGTTTCTAATTTAAAATGAATTGAAATTAGATGCATGGATCAAACACCTTCCTAATGTGAAGTTACTTTTTTTTTTTCTTGCAGTCTTTACAGGGGAAAGTAGTCAGTGTGGAAATGTTTTCAGCTTAGATTTCAAAGTAATTAGAATCTGGGCTCAACTGTGAGGTTTTTCCAGGTCTGTGCTGCATGATAACAAAGAGGTTAAATTCTAACTTAATTAATTGCTTCATTTTCAGAGTAAAATGTGAGGCATTGTGCTTTTTGCTAAATTAGCTCATCCCACTTTCTTTCTATGTGTTCTACGTTGATATCACGGTGAGTACAGTCCGCTTAAGAGCACTGGTTCTCTTAACTGTGTACTTTGGATTTAGTCCCATTCAGCAAGCAAGCAACCAAGTTTATTTATACAACGCCTTATCATATGCAGAGGTATAAAACATGTAAAAGATAAAAGTACAGCAGGGTGAAATTGCTGCAAATGAACTGCTGCAAATATCCTGCTGTGAGAAAGGATCTTTTGACACCTGTAAACAGTTGGATTTTTGTGAACAGTGAATTAATATGATATTTTCACATTTTTCAGTGCTTCAATGCAGGATCAGATGAATTGATCCAGCGCTGCAGTACTCAAGTAAAGGTACTTAATTACTTTCCGTCACTGAGAGCTGCTTTTTAAATCACTTTTAACAGCTGTATCTACATGGTTTGTGGATTTCTTTTGCACAAATATCGGCACTGTTACCTTGTACAGTCTACTTGATCATAATGAGTAGCCTACATTGTACACAGTTTTAAATGCAATCTTTCCAAATTCCTTAATTAAGATTATTATCTATTGAGTTTCTTATTACTCTTAGGTGCTGCGATGTAGGATGTTCTCCTCTAGGAATCAATGAAATCTTTTTTTATCCGACTATTCTTTGCAGATAAAGATTTGATTACTGCGAAGCTGAAAATTGTTTTAACACCAGTAAAGCAAAGTAAACTACAAATATTCAAATACCTCTTACATGATAATGCATGAACAAAAATAATTGTTCACACTCATAATAAGGTCAGTTTTGCTTTTGCATCTTTGATTATTAATACACTAAACCTTTTCTTCTAACTCTACATTTTAGAAATGACTGGGTCCATTATTAATATAAAGCCTATACTAATCGCTTTGGAAAGGGTGAAAACGTGGGTGATTTCCTTTCATAAGTCTTATGGATGCACATTTTCTTTACTGGAGCTCCGTCTTCTGCAGACTGCTCTGTGGCACATCATCAAGACTCACCACAGGATTGAACACATTTGGCATTAATTATTTAGTTTTATCATATTGCTCTCTAAAGTCTAATACAACTGAAGTGTGTTGTCAATTGCAATAAAATTATCAAGTAAAAAATGGCCTCCCACATAAGATGATGTTAACAGGATAAAATAAGGGTGTTTTGGCATTTCTTGTCAGTCTAATAGATTTTTTTTCTGATTAACTTGCCTTCTATGAAAGAAAACAAACTTCAGTGATTGCTTTTCTTGCTGAAAGATGATCATCACTACATGTGATTATAGCCTGTGTATCTAAAAGTATAATGAGGCCCGACAACTCTCTTCTGAAATGTGGTATAGCTCATGAGAAATAACAGCACATATCACTTTTCTTTCTGGGTTTCACAACTTAGAAAGCCAGCAACAACTTTAATGCAAAGAAGAAGAAAAATATGGTAGATCCTTTGTGTTAAATTTTTCAAGTTTGTCTTTTTTTTTTTTTTATCACAAATGTGGTTGGGCCTGTACATGTTTCACCACCCCCAGCGAAAGATTCAAAACTCTTGACAAGCAACAGCTATCACAAGTAAACAAGATGAGACTTTACTGGTAACGTATGACCAGTAGATTGTCCTTCATTTGCTCTCAAGCAAAGCAGAGCTGAATATTCGGTCTATTAGATCCATTCTCCCCCCCCCCCAAAGTGGTAGTTTCAGCTTGGGTTAGCGAGACCTCAGCTGGTCAACAACGCCATCTGCTGGTCAGCGATCTCATCTTCCTAATGCCCCATCCTGAATTACCTCCTGAGTATTTCCATGAGTGCTGGAGAGGCAAATGTTTTTATTTCGAATGGCTTTCTCTTGTTAATATTTGGGCATTTGAGACATCAGTTACCAAAGCCAAATCAATATGAGATTGAATTGTACATGCAGATCAGTGTAAAGCCACAAAAATCACAAGTTACAATACCTTGTGGTAAATAATAGAGAGTGTACCAATACACAACGAAAATAGAAGAGAACTGTAGAACACATAATACCGAACAAAGTTTCGAAAAACAAACTGTCAAAGTTAACACAGGTACAGTTCAAATCAAGATTAAATCTGTAGGCACATGCGGGTGTGTTTGTTTCTTTATCTTGCAAAGGCTGAAAAAAGACAGTCTTTAGCCTTCAAGCTTCACACATCCAAGTCTCAGCTTCCAAAACAGCACTTCAGGTTCTTTTAAATGAACATCACTTACAGCATTGACTGAGGTTAAACAGCATCATTATTGGTTCCCATACTATCATTCACAACAAAAGGAGTATACTTGCACAAAGAACTGAAGCAAAAATCTTAAGGAGGGGCCCCACACAGGACACATTTGATGTGCAGATTGTGATTATCATGTGCATATGGGGGCAATCTGTTCTTTTCGCTCTTTTTTTTTTGTTTTGTTTTCTTAAAATTGGCTTAACACAGTGACACATTCCCTGACTGGCACCATAAGCATGGGAGAAAAGCATGGTGGAGAGTGCGAACATTGTTTGGTACCCACTCTCTTCTTCACACATGCAATGGCACGACAAAGATGCAGCATCCAGAGGTCTTTGGATGGAGACGTATGCAGGTGCTTATGTTGTAAATCACTGCGATCGACGGCCAGGATCTCGCAAAGTCACTCGCAAACATCGCCCACGCGCTTCTGCAAATCACCGTCACGTTTCCTGGTGAACTGCTCGCAGCTCCGCCCGTCTCCCTTTTCACAGGCCCGCGGCTTCTCTTCATCTTTCGTCGCACGCGTTTCCAGGTTCAGGATCTCCACCAGCGTTGATATTGACGGGCTGCCCATCCTTAGACAGCGCAGCGGCCTCCTTTGATGCCCTCCTTTTGGAGTCACGAGTAGTTTGCTGGGGGAAAAAAAAGTAAGATTGTGAACGTCACATCATTTAAATATCACCACACCAGACAGAAAGTGAGTGGGCAAAGATGGCCAAGTGAGACCTGAGTCACTGGAGCTCTGCCACAAGAGGAAGGTGGAGGAGAAACAGCGATGTTCCCAAGATGATGAAAAATGTGAGTCGTTCGGTCAGATCGAGGAGTTTTCAGACGTTTTTAAATAGTAACTCAGTCCTCAATAGGACAATAAATCTCAAACATGTACAGTGCCAGTATTTATATCTTTATGTTTCTTTTTTATTTGCTAAATTTGCATCGTCTGGACTCCCTTTTTGACAGTTTGCTCTCTAAAGAAAGATTTAGCAGAGAGACTGGTTACAATAATGATAGGTCGTGCTCATAATTCCATATTATGTTAAACAGTTTATTATTCCTAGTTTTTAGTATTTGCCCTTCATGCCACAGCAGCTTAGCCAAAATGTATGACTGATTTTAAATGTTAGACTACAGACTGTATATTGTGGACTATATCCACCAATAGCATTCACCCACAAAACCTCTAATGATGACTTGATAAATGTTATTTTGTAATTTTGTCTTTAAAACAAGAGGAAATACTTATTATAATTTCCCAGAACCCACAGATTCCTTCCTATTATCAGTCCAAGATCCAACATTTTCAGTTATCTATCACATACTATAAACCTAAGCAACAAATTCTCTCAAGAAGAAATTAAAAGAGGAAAAAAAAATACTATATTGCTTGATCAGTTATCAGAATATTTGCATCTTAAATTTCAGTCAGTTGACTACTAGGCTAATCACCAGCTCTGCATTGTGCCACACATTTACTCCGGCCTTGTCAAATAGAACCTATAGTAAAAAAAAAAAAAAAGCTATATAATTATTTGAATGGTCTAAAAGCTGGTTATCGCTGACTAGCCTAGGCCTCGTTGTTGTTCAACCCACAATCTCTGCAGCTAATTTTAGCCTGCTTTCAGACCATTATGTTGTGCATCTCTTAACATTTATAGTTGTTTTGGTGATACAAATATGCAATAATGTTCGAGCTAAAACTCAGCTATATCTGGCTCTCACATAGCTGTTTAGCCATTTTCATTATTTTAATATGACATATGGATTTAGTTGTCAATCTTCGATATTTTCTGTTTGTGTGATATACAAATTATGGAAGAAAGAAGTAAACAGGTTGGGCTAAAAATGATTTATATTTAGGCTGAGGTATTCCAGGCTATATGAGAGTTCTGACATTGCTGTAGATGTGAAATCAGGTCCAACACTCAGTAGGATAGCTTTCATGTTATTATGTTTGTTGCGTGAATTTAAAATTGTCATCAGCTTTTTATGGTGCTGTCATCTTGGTCAGGACTTCCTCAAAGCAGAGGTTCCTCAGTTGTTTGGGACACTAATTAAAAATAATTTAAAAATCACTTCATTCTGTGCTACTACACTTAAGAAAAATGTAAAAACAGCATGCAAGTGTTTTTGTTTTTGTTTTTTCTTTTATTTAGAGAAAAAGAAATTCTGTTGTTGTGGTGAGAAAGGGTTAAATCTAGCCAACTGTGCACAAGAAGTTTTTTTTCGCAGTTCCACTGGTGACAAATTCTCAACCACTGACTCAATAAAGAACAATGATCAGACACAGTTTCACCAGTGACTATAAAAGAGCACCTTCTAATGAAGCTTTATTAAAATGACACGATGCCACAGACGACAAGAACGAGACGAGAACATGCATGCTGGATGCTGGCATGTCAGTTAGAATGTGCACTAGCTGTTGTGTAAGAAGTCGTTGGTGTGATGGTGCGACAGACAATCAGCTACATGATGCCCTGGATGAAAGCAACCTAATCCTGTTCCTAAAATATGTCTGCCAACTTCACCGAGCCCTTCAGGAAGAGTTGGACAAACATTCTGCAAGCAGCATCAACAACCTCGTTAACTAATTTAGATTTGTGGCTCTTCACTGACTCGTGGTTTCTGGTCTATCACTCTATCATGATCCTTCTTCATATAATGCATACTTGGTTGTTTAAAGCTGTACAGATGCCACGTGTTGTGACTGCAAATACCTACTTCCTTATAGCACTAAGAACAGATAATAAATATTAGATGCTGCATTCACATTTGTCTTCACTATTCAAAGCTCCTGGGCTCAACTTCCTCATGAAGCTGATCCTGAGTCTGCAGAGTATCGTGACTTTTATCACTGCAAATGAGGAGTGATGTAAGAGGACAGCTACAGTATGTGATGCTGCACCACGTGAGCAAAGACAAGACTGTTGGTGGTTTTTTGTATATTTAGGAGTCGGACATGCCAGTACCTGCTACCAGTGACACCTACATCACTCAAGGAGCGTCTGGGTCTCCTCTGGTGGTTGGAGCTGGTGGTGGTGAGGGCCTGCTTCCCACACTGGGTACCTGTGTTCACCATCCTCTTCTCCCTCAGACTGGTCTCCAACGCTTTACCTGAGTCGATTATTGATTGAAAACACACCAGAACCAGTCGATCAAAACATTAAATATGAGGAAATAGAGATGGCACAGTGATATGTCAGCTGGGTATATGATTAGCTTTTTGCTGGAGCCTGTTGGATCATATTTGAGACTCAAAAGAGGTTGCATTTTGAATGTAACGTGGCCTGCAATGATAGATTCTTCGTTTTGCAGCTACAACAGGCAAACGTGAGGATGGAGGGTCTTACTGGTGGCCACTGGTAGAGGGGTTTCTACGTCCGTGTTGGTAAGCCACGTCGATTCTGTTTCTCTGGTCCAGCTTTCGTGGTACCTCGGCTCGATGATCGCGTCCGCCCGACTCCCTCCACAACCCATCGAGAAAAGCATCCACGGCAGGTGTAGCTGAAGCTGACTCGGGCTTAAAAACGGCGCAGCAGCTGCGGCATCTTCACCGGATCTCCGCTACTGCAGCTCCATCTGCGTTCTCCATCATGAGCTGCAGGTTGATGCTTCTCTCCACAGACAGCAGCTGACCAGCATGAACACACGGGATCTATCTGCGTCATCCGGAGAGGAGGGGGAGTGAACTCTGAGCGCTGATTGGCTGAGGGGGGGCGACAATGAGCTCCTGTCGGCATCATCACTACGACCACCACCACCATCATCATCATCATCATCATCATCCTGCAAATGTGTACTGATATCTATCATTTTTGTGTCTGTTTTATGGAAGAGTTATCTCAATTGTTTGCATACATGGCACCACTTTCTATTAATTTCGCATTTCTAAATGACTATACTGATGATGACATGGCAGCTTTGCAGCTTACTCTAGATCCTATGATTTTTCTTTCATTACTCTATGAATAGTCTTGTAGCTGCACATTCCAGGGGACCAACAGTGTATCTGATGCTGCCAGAAAGCTGCATGTTGCATCTGCAATTTTCATTTCTTCTGCAGAATATGCAAAAAAAAAAAGAAGGGAAAAATAATATCTATAGGTGATACATTTATAGCACTGTTTTTGATACTAGTTATTTGTTCTATGTGTAACTTTTTTTTTTTTTTTTTAAATTGACACTTCAGGGTTAAGACTAATTTGTGATTTTAAGTTCATATAAAATCACAAATGACATAACTGACGATTTACTGATGATTTACTTTAAATTTGTGATTTAATTTCATTGTACATTTATGCTGACAATGCATATATTTGCAGTAAAAGTGAAAAAAACAGTCATAATATGTAATGTTTTAATAGTATTAGTATTGAACTATGTGTACGTTTTTTGACTCTTGACACCTGACAGGATTAATTTATTGATTTCTACTGAGCAAAATAGTGAATCAAGCAACACCACATTCTAATAAGGCATTTATATGACACACTACTTCAATGATAGTAAACCAATAGTTCCTGCTTGATCAATCAGTTATGCTCTAAAAAACAAACGTTTAGGCTCAACAAAAATAACTTCCACCGTTTGCATCAGTCTTTTTGAGTTCAGTCTAATACAAATGAAATTCTGTTCAACCAATAAACTATATTGACTATATTAGGTAAGAGAAATCAATGACAAATTATTAACTACTTGAAATTCTGATCTCAAAGTGGAAAAAAAATACATCAAGCTAATTTCTGCAACTTACGACAACTTTTTTTTTCTATCCATCAATGCAGCAGATGAAGTTGCACACATTAGGTCAATGTAATTGCCAACATTTTTTATGTCAGCACAACTCAACAACATAATGTGTGCAAATTAAAAGTTTTATGTAAATAAGTAAATATAA